CTATCTATCTATCTATCTATCTATCTATCTATCCATCCATCCATCCATCCATCTCTCTCTCTCTCGCTCTCTCCCCCCTCTCCCTCTCCCTCTCTCCCTCCAATCATCCCTCCATCCATCCAACCATCCATCCATCCATCCATCCATCCATCCATCCATTCTCTATTATTCATTCATTCATTCATTCATTCATTCATTCATTCATTCATTCATTCATTCATTCATTCATTTATATAGCCCCAACTCAGAGTGACTCTCAGAGGATGGCATAAGTTAAAAATGAAACAATAAACAAGGATTCTTAAATAACCATTAAAACCATTAATACATACATATAATAAAGCACAGGAGAAAGGTTTTTAAAAAATAAAACAAAACAAAATAAAAGCCCTTATATTTAATAAAGCCACTTTGCAGACTCCTTATTTCTAAGGGTTCTCCAGGGCTGCTGGGGAAAAAAGGGCACACATTTTTGGGAGATCTCTGGAAGGCTAATAGTGTTTGGGACAGTCCCACTTCAGCAGGGATGATGTTCCAAAGATGGGTGCTGCAGCAGAAAAAGCTCATCTCCTAAATCCGGTCTGATGGAACTTATTAATAGATGTGACCCATAAGTGGGCCCTCCTGCCTAATCTGATGATCTGAGTAGACACAATTGGGAAGAGAAAGTGCCTGAAAAGATTGCCAATCTAACAGACATAGTTATAGTACATCATGACCCAGGGGAAAATGTACCATGAATATTTCAGTGGTAAGGTTAGTATCCCTAGAGTTTGGAGTGAGATTTGAGAGTTATAAACAGAACAATGAGAAATGTAGGATAAGTTCAGAGAAATAATGGTATTGTGTGATGAAACCATGATGTGTTGCATATGATTGAGAACCCATTGAATAATTACTTTAGGACACATTTATCTGATAAGACTAGAATGACTACCGTGGAGAGATGACCTTGGGGAAAGAAGGCATGAAACATTAAGGCAATGTCAATTTTTAGTCCTAAGAAAGAAACTCAGTATAACTTCACTTTGATCTTGTCTGGTATAAGATGGGGCAGAGAGAAATTCTGATATACTTTCATGAGTCTATACCAGAGGTGATATTCAGCCCGTTCTGACAGGTTCTGGAGAACCGATAGCAGAAATTTTGAGTAGTTTGGAGAACCGGCAAATAGGCTGGCCCCGCCCCCGCTGCCTCCCTGCCTCCTAACCAATCTTCTTTTCTTGCCCTGAATAGGAGAACGGAGCTGGAAAGCAGGTTAGTGAGGTAGGGGGGGAATGAGGATTTTGCAGTATCCTTCTGCCACGCCCACCAAGCCACGCCCACAGAACCAGTAGTAAAAAAAATTGAATCCTACCACTGTTCTATAGTTTTACTCTACACCAGGGGTGTCAAACCGCAGGCCCGATGCGTCATGCCCAGACCATGCCCACCTCAGCTTTGCAAATGGAAAAAAATGTTGCAATATGTCACCTGATGGCAATGTGACACAGCGGGTTTGACACCTGTACAGTACAGCAATGGAGTGGTATTCCTGGAGTGTCTGTTTCTTGACCTGGCCTACTTTCAAAGACAAATGGGACATCATTGCTGGCAAGATTTTTCNACTGGCTGATAGCCTCCCATAAACGGAACACCGTTGGCCAGACGGTTATTTCTGTTGTTCTGATGAACTGCCGTAATAAAAGAGCTTTGCTAAAAGTCACTCTGGTCTCGTCTCCATTTTCATCCAGAACTTAACAGCTTGAATTCACAAATGTGAACATGCGCTATTCTCTTTCTAAGGATCGCAACTGAGAAAGAGACTCCTGAAATGTCTACAGAGATTCTCGATCATCCACGTCATAGTTGCCCCAAAGGTGCTTTTCCAAAAGGCAACTGGACTTTCTTGGGAGTTTTTTCCCTTGAAAACGTTTCACTTCTGAACCAAGAAGCTTCTTCCATTCTAACTTTCAAAGGCAAAAAACCAAGGAAGTGCTTTTTGGAAAAGCACCTTTGAGACATGTTCCTAAGATGTTACTCTACCATCCTTCTGAAAACAGTCCCTCCCATCCATCCACCCCCCCCCCATTGTCACATCTTTTATACTGAAAGAGAGGGAGCATCAGTTTCCCAACTATGGAACTGCCCTTTAATGCACACAACTGATACTGATTTATGCTGGGAAGGGAGGTGATTTGTGGTGAGCGGGAAAAGGGCATGTTTTGATTGAAAAGTAGCTTTCATCATTTCTTAGCTGTGTATCTTTATGCAATCTTTGTGACAAGATGAATCAACTGAGTCACCCTCTCCTTTCAGCTATCCTGAATAAGTGGGGAATTGTATTCTGTTTACATATCTCCGTTTTATAAGATCGCTGTCATTTATTTGGAAGACTTTAAAACAGAAAGCAACATGCTTTAGCCTGGAGTGTTTTGTTTTGTTTTTAAAAATAGCTTGTACGATTACAAAGGATAAATTAGGGGTAACCTATCTTGGGCTGAACTGCTAAACATATGTACATTTTCCTTAAATGGCAGGAAAACAGAATGTCTTCTAGAGAGACACAACTACAATGCCTTCACTTCTATAAACAGTGTTGCTAATCTGATAGTGTAAGACCTAAATGTGAAAGTCACAAGTACAGATAGTCCTTGACTTAGGGCCATAATTGAGTCCAAAATTTTGGTTACTAAATGAGACAGTTGTTAAGTGACAGTTGTTAAGTGAATCGCTGTAGTTGTTAATTTAGTAATGTGGTTGTTAAGTGAATTTGGCTTCCCCATTGACTTTGCTTGTCAGAAAGTCATAAAAAGTGATCACATGATCCCTGGACATAATCATCAAAAATTTGAGTCCATTGCCAAGTGTTTGAATTTTGATCTCGTGACCATTGGGATGCCACAACAGTCACACGTGTGAAAAATGAACACTTTTTTCAGAGCCATTGTAACTTTAAACAGTTACTAAATGAACTGTTGTAAGTCTAGAACTACCTATAAGATTATACGGTTAGGCTATTGATTTGAGCTCCAAGTTTGGCAATTTGGTTTCATCACTGTTAAAGGAGGCATCACCATTTAAGGAGACATTGTTTCATCACCATTCGAGAAGACATCGTCAGTGCGTTTTGAATTGTGCTTGTCTGTTACAACACAGGTCTTTAAATGCTTTTTTATGAGATGCAAATTAGTCTGAATGTTGTTTGTTCGGATATTTCTGAGTCATGGTCTGATTTCGGACTGTTTGAAAGTATCAGGTTCTCTGACTTTTCTCTCAACCTGCAAATGAAGTAGACCTGTACACCATTTTATGACATGTGGCTGCACCAACGTCCCTAAGGTGAATTTGAATGGTGGGAAGCACAACCAATATATTTATTGCTATTTTCTAAAAGCGAATATGGCAGAATTGGGAACCTGGGGATCAATTCTTTAGCTCAAATCGTTTGAATCTTCAATAAGCAGCTGCTATTTTGTTCTTTGTCTCTATCTCCTGTGTAACAATGACTCTGGTGAACTGATTTCAGGCTAGGCTTTGCAAGCTATTGATTAGAAGGAGAAGGCCACATTATCTTTTATCATCTCATTACATCTTGGGTGACAGTTATGCAGAATTTAAAAGAAAGTGGGGGAGGGAAATCTCAAGATAGAACCTGCCCATTCTCATCACCGTCTGCATAAAGCTTCAGGCATAAGAGCTGGCCTTAGAGTCAGCCATGTTGGATTTGAAGGAAAGGACTGTAGAAATAATTATTCCAAATCAGTTTGATGTTCTCTCTGTACTGCATCATGGATTATCACCAGACAGTCTACAAAGAGGGAAATGGAGAAGTAATGTTTTAGGACCATGATGGAGAACCTATGGCACGCATGCCACAGGTGGCACAAGTAGCTATATCTGCGGGCACATGAGCGAAGGCTAAGGTGACCAACATCCCGCTTTTGGCAGGACAGTCCCGATTTTTAACAATTTGTCCTGCGTCCTGCAGCGTTTTTAAAAAGTCCCAATTTTTGTATAAATAACCGAGTTGCATAGAGGTCACACACCTCGTTGGAATGGCAGCCTAAGTAAGGGCGATGCCCAGAAGCACGGCTAATTCAGGGCGCGGGTCTAATCTGAAGCATTGGGCAGGAAAGGGTGAGACTGTTAGCTGTGAAAGAGGGCCAGGGAGGGAGGGAGAGATGGGGATGAATGGTCATATGCGATTTGCACCGAGCGGCGCTCACCCAGGGTAGTTTAGTAGGAGCTGGGTTCCCCCCCCCCTTTGAGTTGTATTAAAATAATAATAATCCCTGGAGACTTTTGAGGGGTTTGCAAAACCGATAGAAATTTGCTAGGAAGAGGGG